GAAACCTGAAGAAAGGAAAACTGTAGCTTGCTATGTAATCCTGGGCAAAATATTCCGTTTCCCTTGGTTTGTAGAGGAAGGCACCAAAGGTCGTGATTTCTAAGGTCACTCTGGAACTAAAGTTGTAAGATTCTAGCAAAAATTTAGGGTAAGCAAAGGATTAGAGCTAGACCTATGTATTTCTCATCAGTGGTCTAATCCCATTAAAACATGAACAAAATTAGTCTGTATTGAAACAAGTTAAAAAGATGTGACACTCTTGTGTACTGTTGTGGGAAACTGGTAATAGGAAGCAAGTTAGCCTCGTTTATCAAATTTTTTAATGTGCAACTCCCTAGACTTGGCAATTCAATTTGCTATTTTATTCCATGTACATACAAAGATGTTTGATGCATATTATTTGTAATACACTGAAAGATATTTCTGATATAGTTTGTGGGAAAAAATTGCAGAAAATATGTATAATCTCATTTTTTAAATCCTAAAGGTCTAGTGAGATCCCAACATACGATACACGCTCATTCTGAGGCTGGAGTTAGAGAAATGGAAAAACATTTTTTACTTGAAATTGTAAAATATCTGTAATGAATAATGTATTACTTCTGTAGTTTAAATATTTTTAAAAGAATAAATTGAATATAATAAAATGATAAAATAGACATGAGTCCTTAGGCTTTAGTGTTTACAATCTAAACATATTAAGTTCATAGGAAGACAAAAATGGAAAGATAATAACCCTCTTTTCTGGGTAGATTTTTTTTTCAAATCAAGTATAACCCTGAAAGGTTAGAAAATTTGTCAGAAACGAAATAAAGTTCAGTAATACAAAGTAAAATACAACAATTTATGAAGCAAAAATAGTTGCACAAAAACCAAATTAGGGAACCTGAAAAGTGAGTAAAACAGTAGAATACAAAAATTAGCACAGTAGACTACAAGATAATGACTTAACATCAGAGTATATGGTAGATAACGACTTAACAACGGTGTATACAGTCAACTTGAGTATTCTGGACTAATTACAGTGTCATCTCTCCTCAAAAAAAATTCAGAACTCTAAATTTTATTTTCATTCCTATATTATGCAATATTAGAAAAAAGTCATTGTCATCATATTTTGTGCTTACCTGTTCCCCATTTGAGAGTCCAAGTTTCTGACCAACTTGTCTGTTAATTTCAGCCACATATTCACCTTGGTTGTTAAAATGCCCGCCTTGTACCCAGCTCAAGAACACAGGCTGGTGACCCCAGGTTACTTCTATAGCTTGATTCTATTTATTCAAGAAATAAAAAATGGGGGGAAAGGTTTTAAAAGATTTTACATGCTTTTCTAAAACTATGATTGCAATACACACACAAAGAGTTCTATAGATAGCTGATAACTCTCTGTTGTCCACATCTGTCGTAGCATTTAAAAAGCTATAATCATTTCCAATATCCAACACTGGTGATGCTATGGGTAAAACCAATGTACTTACATTCTTATGATGGCATTATAAATGGATTTGACCATTCCAGAATTGAAAATGGCAATAGGTAGCCAATGAACTTAAAAACAGCCTTTATAAACACACACACACACACGTACTTCTGTGTGTGTGTGTGTGTGTGTTAATGATTCAAAGAAGGAAGAAATCTACACCAAAACACATCTCTGCAGTATTTTCTATATAATGAAAACTTAGGAGTGGTTAAAATGTCTATCAACGGGAGTGTTACTAAATAAACTATAAATTTACTATTTTAGTAAACTATGAGTCAATAACTAGAAATATATATCATGATCATTAAAAATGTAACAGTATTGTCCTAGTATTTTTTTTTTTTTTTTGTGGTTATAGCTTCTTGGGCAAAAGAAAAGAAAAAATAAACAAATGGGACTACATCAAAATAAAAAGTTTTTGCACAGAAAAGGAAACCATCAACAAAGTGAAAAGATAACCTTCCAAATGGGAGAAGATATTCACCAGTGATACACCCAATAAGGGGTTCATATCCAAAATTTATAAAGAACTCATATAACTTAACACCAAAAAAACAAACAATCCAATTAAAAAATGGGCAGATGACCTGAATAGACATTTCTCCAAAGAAGACATACAGATGGCCAACAGACATATGAAAAGATACTCCATGTCACTAATCATCAGAGAAATGCAAATTAAAACCACAACATCACCTCACACTTGTCAGTATGGCTATCACCAATAAAATCAACAAATGTTGGCAAGAATGCGGAGAAAAGGAAACCCTTGTACACCATTGGTAGGATTACAAATTGGTACAGCCACTATGGAAAACAGTATGGAGGTTCCTCAAAACTACCTTATGACCCAGTAATTTCACTTCTGGGTATTTATCTGAAGAAACTCAAAACACTAATTTGAAAAGATATATGTATTCCTATGTTCAATGCAGCATTATTTACAATAGCCAAGATATGGAAGCAACTTAAATGTCCATCAATAGATAACTGGATAAAGAAGATGTGGTACATATATACAATGGAGTATTAGTCATAAAAAAGAATGAAGTTTTACCATTTGTGACAACATTGATGGACCTAGAGATTATAGTAAGTGAAATAAATCAGACAGAAAAAGACAAATACCATATGATTTCGCTTATATGTGGAATCTAAAATACAGAATGAACAAATGAAACAGATTCAGATACAGAAAACAAACTGACGGTTGTCAGATAAGAGGGAGTTTAGGGGCTGGGTGAAAATGGCAAAGTGATTAAGAAGTACAAATAGGCAGTTACAAAACAGTCAAGGGGAAGTAGAGAATAGGGAATATAGTCAATAATAGTGTAATAACATGTATGGTGTCAGGTGGGTACTAGGCTTATGGGGGGGGTCACTTTGTAGTTATAGAAATGTCTAATCATTAGGCTGAACACCTGAAACTTATTGAATGTCAATTGTAATTGAAAAAAATTAAAATTAAAATGATGTAACCATATTTATTAGAAGAATAATAAATGTACACAGTAAATGTACAAAAGCATAAAACATGATGGCAGGTCCCTGTTACCAGAGGTATTTACTGTTAATAGATTTTTATGCTTCCAGATATTTTATATTATGCAGCTTCTTAAATAAAAATTTTAAAGTTCTATAACTATGAAAACATTTATAAGATAAAAAAACAGCAAAATATAACATTTATTCTAATTAAAAGCATTTACATAAAATATTTACGTTAATATTAAGAATTAAAAGACAATATTTTCTATGATTAAAGAATTACAAACTCATTATAGAAACCTGGGAAAATATATAAACTTGAAAGGAAAAAAAGGAATTATTGCTATTTCCTCTACAGAAAGACACCCATGTGAACAATTTCATCTATTTCTGGCTAATCCTTTTTTCTTTGCTCGTTATTTTAATTATTAAATTAAATTTATTGGGGTAACATTGGTTAATGTTATATAAATTTCAAGTGTACAACTTTATAATAAACATCTGTATACTCCATTGTGTGCTCACCACCTGAATTCTAGTCTCCTATCACTGTATTATTTGACTCCCTTTACCCTATTTATAATATCCCACTTCCCTTCAGGTAATAAGTTAATTTTTTACATGGCTATGTATTTTAGTCATGTTTACTATTATTTTCTCCCACATAACATTGTATCATAAGTATTTTTAGATATAGATCTTTTTTAATAAAAAGTAAGGGTTTCACTAATAGCCATCAACATTTATCATATCAGGGAGTTTAGTATTATTAAATTCATTGAATTTATTAAATATTAAATTCATTCATTTATATATTTTACTTTCTCGAAATTGGTTATAGGCTGCTGCTTATTATGTTTCTTTAAATGAGACAAATTTCAAAGAATGTGGAGCCACTTCTGAGGTAATATACTTTAACCACATTATTAAAACTTTGTATAAAAGAAAGTCATCGTGTATCACTTGTGTAATTTTTCTCATAACTCTTCACAGGATAGTTCAACTGCTCTAGCTGACAAAAATTCCTCTGAGCACAGTGTAATATAGAAAGAGCCCTAGATTTGGAGTCAAAAGTACAAAGTTACTATGTCAGCTGTAACTGTGGGAGTTGAGGTTAGAAAAGTGAAGGTGACCACCTCCCCGCACCTCCCAGATGCTTTCCACTGCAGATTCCTGGCACACCAGCGGCGACTATAGGGGAAAACCATCACTTTATTAACCTGTTCCGCTAGTGAAACACGGTGCTCTCAGTCTCTGTTAACCTACAGGGACCCGCCAAACCAAGTCTGCCCTTCCCTCTGGAGGCCCGGACCACAGCCGCGCCAAGCACCTGGAAATCGCTGGCGGGAAAAACATTTTTACACAAACAACAGCAAAAGAACTGCCTTCTCAAGAGCTTTCCAACCTGGAGTGAGAAATATCTGAACGTCGAAGTAGAATATTAAGATGTCTGAAAGCCCAGTTTCACCGAATGAAAAGCTCTTTAATAAGGTCAGTTAACTTAAAACTCCTGGGCTGCACTAGGCGTGATGTGGGCTGCAGAGACTGCCCAGACCCGCCCTGCCCTCGCAAGCCCTTAGGTCTCGCCAGGAGAGGCCTGAGCGGCCGCCGCGCCCCTGAAAGGCCACAGCCAGGTCAGACCACAGACTACCGACCAGGTGTCCCGAGTTCCGGCTGGAAGGCCCGGTCCGAGCCGGCGCATTACCTGCAGCAGGTGAAGCTGGGACACGAGGCGCCGCGGCAAGTGGAGGAAGCAGTCGCGAACGTTGGTAAAGGCCACAGTCACGGCCGCCTCACCTCCCCCGGGACCCGCCAGGCGTTCGCTACTCCACATCATCTGCAAAAGCGGACCCTCTCCAAGCCGGGACAACCCGGCAGGCCCCGAGCGTCGGAGCCGGATGAGATCGACCGGCCCCGCCCCTCGC